TCAAAGCCAAAAACGAAGTCGTATACGAAGACCGGCCCATTCCCACCCTCCCCTCCCCCTACGACGTCCTCGTCCGCCCGCGATGGACCGGCATCTGCGGTTCAGACGTACACTACTGGGTCGAAGGCCGAATCGGGCATTTCATTGTCGAGAAGCCGATGGTGCTCGGCCACGAATCCGCAGGCATCGTGCACGCCGTCGGCGACAAAGTGAAGAGCCTCAAAGTGGGCGATGAAGTCGCCATGGAACCCGGTGTGCCCTGCCGCCGCTGCGTCCGCTGCAAAGACGGGAAGTACAATTTGTGTCCTGACATGGCGTTTGCGGCGACGCCGCCGTACGATGGCACGCTCGCGAGGTATTATACGCTGCCGGAGGATTACTGCTATAAGTTACCGGCGAATATGAGTATGGAGGAGGGTGCGCTTATTGAACCTACCGCCGTCGCCGTACACATTACGCGGCAAGCGTCTATCAAGCCCGGCGACTCTGTTGTCGTATTCGGTGCTGGGCCCGTCGGTCTGCTGTGCTGCGCTGTTGCGAAAGCGTACGGCGCGAAGAAGATTGTGACTGTCGATATCAACGACGAGCGGCTCAACTTTGCGCTCAAGTACGCGGCGAACGCGAGTTTCAAGTCCGCAAGAGTGAGCGCGCAGGAGAATGCTGAGAATCTGGTTAGGGAGTGTGAGCTGGGTATGGGCGCGGATGTTATTATCGATGCGAGTGGGGCGGAGCCGTGTATTCAGACTGCTATTCATGCGTTGAGGATGGGGGGGACTTATGTTCAGGTATGTTGTTACGCCCTTCCTCATCATCCCCCTCTTACCCACCACATACCCCTTCTCCATACCCCCTCCCCCTCCCCTCCCCATATTCTCCATCCACAATCTAACACAAACCAGGGCGGCATGGGCAAACCCGACATCAACTTCCCCATCATGGCCATGTGCACCAAAGAACTCAACGTCAAAGGCTCCTTCCGCTACGGCTCCGGCGACTACCAAACCGCCATCGATCTCGTTGCTGGCGGCAGGATCAGCGTCAAAGAGCTCATCACGGGCAAGGTCAAGTTTGATGAGGCGGAGAAGGCGTTTGCGGATGTCAAGGAAGGGAAGGGGATTAAGATTTTGATTGAGGGGCCGGAGGGGCAGTAGATGTGATGGTTGAGGGATGGGGATGCCCTTGTTTTTCTGTGGGACGATTGTAGTATGTAGTGTAGCGGTATGGGGTTTTTTGTGACCGGAATGGCGGCTACGGCTGTGCCATGGTGTTTTTGTAGAGGGTGGGCGGGTTGGTTGGATGGCTCTTTGAGAATATGATGTTATGATTTTACTTGAACTTACTGTTGCTCTCTCATTGTTTGTGTGGATGGTATTTCCTAGTATAGTATCCCCTCTTCTACCGTTTATTATAGGATATGTCAGTATATGTCGGCACTTTGAATGGAACATACAAACAAGAGACTGAACTACGTCACATCCAAGCTGAGCAGGAGACAGATAATGCACAGGTAGTATGAACAATCGTGTTCTCAATTTTGCTAAATACCGTCAAACAGACGAGCTCTCCCTCAAAAACGCCAATATCTAAATGCTGAAATGCACCCTCACACCGACCACACCCCTTCATCATCGTCATCGTCATCGTCATATACATCACAAACTAACCTCCCACCAGTCAACTCCCCCGTCCACACCTAGTCCAAACTCTGAATCTGCACCTTAATACACCCCGTCTTCGGATCCGCCGCCGTCTTAAACGCCTCAACCGCATCCTCAAGCTTATACCTATGCGTAACCAACTTGCTCAAATCAATGACACCGCTCTTGTACAACCGGATAGCCTTGGGCCACGTATTGCAGTAGCGGTACTGGAACTGCAGATCCACCTCGCGGGTACTCAGTCTCATGAAAGGAATCTTCATCTCGTTCTTGCCGACGCCGATGACGAAGACTTTGCCGCCGAACTTTACGGTTTGGATGGCGGCGCAGATGGAGGATTCGACGCCGGTGCATTCCATGGCGTGGGAGGGCTCGACGCCGTCGGTTAGTTTGAGGATGGCGGATTGGAAATCCGTGGCTGAGTGGCTGAATTCGACTTTGTGGGTTAGGACGCCGGGGACGAGGGTTTTGGCGAAGTCGAGACGGCCTTGGTCGATGTCGGTGATTACGAGGGGGGTCGCGCCAGCCGCTTGACAGCACAGGAGTGTGACGAGGCCGATGGGGCCGGCGCCGCAGACGATGGTGGGGTCACCTAGGCGGATGTTCGCGCGGTCCATGCCAGCCAGCGCAACGGAAAGGGGTTCCAGCATCGCGCCGTCTTCGAAGGTCATGCTGTCGGGCAGCTTGTGGCACCACATGGCTGGGTGCTTGAGGTAGCGGCGGAGCAGGCCGGTGACGGGTGGTGTAGACAGGAATTGGACGCGCTCGCAGCCGTTGTAGCGGCCTGTGAGGCAGGGCTCGCATTCGCCGCAGATGATGTTGGGTTCGATGGCTACGCGGTCGCCGGGCTTGAGGTGCGTGACGGATTCGTGGCAGGCCATTACTGTGCCCGCGGATTCGTGGCCGAGGACGTGGGTATCTTCTACGATCATGGGTCCGATGCAGCCCTGGAAATGGGGTTAGCACTTGTTCGTTCTCTGTGTAGCTTTGAGAGCCTTCTGCTGCCGTCAAAACCCCAGGGGCATGGAAAACGTACAGCATGCCAGAAGTGAATATCACTCCCGCAAATTCCCGTGCTCTTGACATTGATAAGAACCTCGCCTGGCTTCAAATCTCCTCCTCTTTGCACAACCTCCAGACTGGGTTCCGCCTCTGCGACCCAGAGATCATGCGCGGGGTTGGTGTAAACACCGATATTAGCCTTTGACGAGAACTGAACATCCGTGCCGTTGCCATTAGCCTTGCTAACACCGTTCGTCGCCGGCGCAGCAGCAGCCTCAGTGTGTGTGCCGTTCATCTTGGTCGTCTCTTCCTTGATGCTGAGTTGTTGCTTAATCTCCGACGCCCAGCTAGTGAAGAGGGGAAGAGAAGCCATGGAACCAAACGCACGAAAAAGGAACGTTTAAAGGTATGCAATCGCAAGGATGGGGATGATGCAAGAAAGGTCCGATAGAAAGGGTAAGGTAAACAAAAACTGGGGGGGACAACCGCGTCAATAAAGATCACCTGGCCACCTTTTACTACTCCCGCGGCCCTTCTTTTCTGCCTGTCTGCAAGCGTACGCCTTTACCGCTTGGTGCTTGCCAGCATGTACCTAATCCATTACTATAACCCAGACTTTACCCTTCCGCTCCTTCGCAATTGGTGCGGGGCAACCACGCAAAGCCGCGCCCGTGAATAATACTTCCATTCATGAGAACGTCACGCCGCCCCGCCATAGCAAGTTGGAGGAAGAACCCCACATAGTCGCGCATCACCAGTCTTTCCACGAATGGGAGGGCAGACAAGTCCGCAAGAAGGGGCAGGTACGCGCAAGTATCGGTTTCCCAGTCTGGCAGTTCCGCGATGCAGTTGGACCCCTTCTACGTTTCCGCCGCGAAGCTACGTGGTGGGGTTGGAGGTCGGTGGCTGCAGCTATACTGCTTCTGGTAGTGTAACCTACACCGAGCCTCCGAGACTAGTAGTACTGAGAAGTCGGATTTCACGATAGTTGGAGACGTGGTGTTGAGTGGAGAAAAAACATGCGTAAACCATGAATAGCGTTTGTGTAGCCTCGGCTCGTGACCGATTCGGGATGCGGATGGAAGTATTTGTTGGTGTGTTGGCTCGGCGCGTTCACCGATTGATGGGTTCTAGATGCGGCGGTTGGGTTGTCACGCAGGTACGGTGTACGACGGAAGGATTATATGTCACGTTGGCGCAGACAGACAATGGTAGTTAGACTATTGCTGTTCGTTCGTTTCGCTAGGTGTCATGTCATTTATGGAGGAAAACATATGTTGAAGAAAGCGGGGCGCGTACCACAGCATCGCATGGAAGTCGCGAACACCACCTGCAAACACCCTCGTCTTCTCCAATCCCGAAGACGTACATCCTCGCAATCCACAGAACCATATCAGCCTATAGAACCGCCCACGCCGCATGCACATCAGACTTCCCGTCTATTTCCATCCCCGCGGTCTCCGGTCCGTCTTTGCTGCATGACTGCGCCGCAATATGTGGCGACTGGCGGCTTGACGACGCGCATCGCGCTGGCAGGTGCTATGTATATCCAGGTACACGCACATCGATAATACATGCATGAAGAAAGAGAAGCAGTGGCAGAGAAGCGTTCTTGACGGAAGACGGAAGAGTTGTCGCACGCGCGTAGGAATTCGGGGTAAGACAGGCAGGCGGCCTTACACCTACACACCTGCACACCTACACTCGCCTTCCCAATCCCATCGGCGAATGTATCGACCCATCATCGCACCACCTTCATTCTCTAACATCACAGCTTTGATCCTTTGCTATAGCTGCCAAGGGAGTCGGAGTGGAGAGGTGGGATTACTATGGTGGTGCTAAGAGGTCTTGTTTCACCATGCGCATGGTTCGGAAGCTCGTTGTACCGAAGCGAGGCTGCAAGGGACAGAGATGAGGCGAATAGAGGCGTGGTGCATGATTGTTAGAGGTGAGATTGAGTAGGGTACTCGAGTGGAGTGAGGGTGGTTCGATGGTGGGTTGTGTTGGAGGTTGGACGTGCTTGGTAAAGGCTTGTCTTGCTTGGTGTGCTGGTTCGTGTGATCGAGTTTCTCTAGGAGGTACGAGTAAGTATCAACAACACATCAGACGTTCAACACATGCGCGGAAGGAATTGGAGTCATGATAGAGGTTTTTAAAAAGTCTAGTTTCTTTCTTCTTTCCTTTGCATAATCCGCATATTGTAGTAAGAACACATGAAAATGGAGTGTACCCTTGGGTTACTACTCTGAAGGCTAATCGTAACAAATACACATCAACCTAATATACGCCTTGACATTCAACCTCGCATACAAAATACACATTCTTGAACAACAGCGTCGTCTAGAAATGCTCCTTCCAGAACTTGAAGTTGACCTCCTGGCATGCCGCCTGCTTACACGCCTTCTTGATGTCGCGCGCCGCAACGTTAGGACCGCAGAAGTAGACACCGACCTCTGTGCGTAGCGTGCTTTCCAGACCGTTCATGTAAGTGCGGTCCAGAATACCATCGCGCATACCGCAGAACAGGCGCTGGAAGTCGGGACGACCGAAGTTGGTGCGCGACTTGAGTTCTGTGAGGGGATCCTTGTCGGTGCCTACAGAGTTGAGAACAATGTTCTGCGCAGTGTTGACGTCCATCTTCTGGGTGAGGTAAGTGTGAATGCGCAAGAATTGGTCGCCATCTGCGCCGCCGAGCGACTGCGCTTCGAGCGATGAGAGGAGAGTCTGGAACCATTCGAAGGATGAGGTGTCTTTGCAGACCCAGATGAATTCGACACGGCGGAGACGCTTGGGTGGGTTGGGGCTGAGACGGAGGTGGTAGATGGACTTGAGAATTGAGGCCCAGGGTGTGACACCAATACCGGTTCCGATGAGGACTGCGACTTCGTTCTCGAAAACATCCTCTGCGGGGGCTCCGTAGGGTCCGTCTATGCGGAGAGCGGGCATCTTTTGGCCGTGCTGAAGTGCGATCTCGTACATGCCCATGGGGTCGAGCTCGTCGTAGAGCTTGGATTGCGATTGACCAGCACCGAGAGCATCGGCAAGTGCGCGAGTGAAGTCACCAACCTGGCGCACGTGAACCGAGATGTACGGGTCGTTGGGGCAGGAAGTGATGGTAAATGGATGCCACTGGTGGTAGCTGACATCCGGGCAGTTCAGGAAAAGCCATTGTCCGGGCTTGTACTTCATGCTGGGCTTGGTGAACTGAATCTCAACGGCATCTATTCGGCATTAGTGCAATCCTTCGAAAACAACATTGATGATCTGCTTACCGTATGGGTGGCGAACAACCTTGACGATCTGGGTCTGGCGTCTGCAACGAATCTCACGGTAGAGGCGATCGAAGAGGTAAAGACCACCTCCCACAAGCTCCCATCGCCATCCCTCGTAACCAATGCAGTGGGTCCAGAAGTTGTCGTGGTCGAATGGAGAGAAAGCTGGAGCGGTATCACGGACGAAGCAGCTGGTCGCATGGGTGTACATGCCGAGCAGGAACGGGATAAACAGATGATGCGTGTACCAGAAGGTCTCGAACGATTGTTGGCGAATCCTGTGGTGCGCCGTGGTGTAGATTAGAAGCATGCACAGCAACATGATATGTCCTGTGATTCCACCAGCCTCGGCGTAGTGGATTTGCAACGCGATCTGGGGTCGGACCTGCACACGTTCGACGTTGAAGAAGCTGTCTTTGTTAGACAAGTCAAGCTTGGTAAGATATATATCGACTCACTTGACGTAATGCGCCGCTACGTGGAGGATAGTGAAGAACAACATGGCGTAGGCGACTTGTCGATGGAACCATTGAGACTCATCAAGCGGCAGTACGCGCACCTTGGGACGGAGCCATCGGAGGATATTTCTGCACATTGGCATGACGATCACCATGGTGTCGACTGACAGGACAAGACCTGCACCACGAGATACCCATACTGAGTACTGCAGGGCGTTGAGCGGTGCTAAACGTGCATCACCAGCTTGTTTCCACCTGACTAAAGTTAGTGGTCGATCAATGATTTGAGTAAGGGCTTCCTACCATCCTATACCGAACAGGGCCCAATGGAAACCCCAGAAGAAGATGTGAAAGAAGAGTTTTTGTGGCGTAAAGAGCCTGGAAAACGATGTGCCGCCGCCGCCCATGATGAATGTTCTTCCGCGGTAATCGGTTGTGTCGTCAACAAGTCCACCTCAGGCGTGCCGTTCAACGGTGATTATAGAAAAGATTAAAGAGTATACGCGTGGTATAAGCGAACCCAACCAGGAAATAAACGATCCAGTCGAAGTTCGACCCGGCCAGCCAGATACGAAGTGAAGAAAAGAATGTGGGTGTCCCGGGACGAGCGGAGTGATGTAGAGAGAGAGCGCGCGGATGGGGAGGAGGATCCAAGGCTGCCGGGAACCAAGGGTATTAGAATGTCAAGCCTTGGGAACAAGCCGAGTCAACGTGCGCAGATCAGGTGCAGATAGGCAAAGCCGTAAAACCTGGGTAGAGCGGCACGCTGTGCTGAAACCGACAGGGCCTGTTCGGTACGGATGTGGCTCAAACCGATGCCCCACGAAGGTGCCGTATACCAGGAGCCGTTAAGATGGATGACAGAGGTTATGACTAGGGCCCTCAGGGACGTGATGCAGAGGAAATCCGGTGGCGCCAAACCTGAATGGGCGCAAGGTCGGATTTTGAGGTATCGAAGTTGGGGGAGGGGTTTGCTGCTATGCGCGAGCGGCTAGTGTGTGAAGAGCGTCTCAGACTTGAAGCGCCAGGCACAGAACCATGTTTTCCTTGCAAATGCGGTCGTATGTTCGGAGCTCAAGATCTTCAGTTGCTCTTGGATAATGCGCAGTAGGAGTGCAGTGTATGCCGGCGAGTGGCGAGGCGATTGCCGTTTCGCTAGTGGATTTGTTGGGGCTGGTGTTGGTGAGGCTGCGAGGCTTGCGAATCTTCACGATCTACAACTGTCAAACTTCAGACGTGAGCACGATCTGACAGATGGGCCTGAGCCGCGTGGTAGGGTTTCGGACGGTATTTCCTGAGGGGTGCGATTGACCGTTGGCAGATGGGCTCCGATTCTTTTGATGGGGTTCACGACGGATAGGCGAGGCGCGCTGAAACGATGCACGTTGGAAGGCGGGTCGTAAAGGGATAGGAAAATCAGGACGGGTATCTGAATGAATCGCTGAAAGTGGTATTCGCTACGTTATGTCGTTAGGTTAGATGCAGAGGCTGGTAACTTTGGGATTGATGACTGCAGTCGCGGAGGGGATAGCGTTGGCAGGTACGGAAGGTACGCATTGGGGTGGCGGATCTGGTTCTAAACTACCGCCCCTTGCGCAGAAGACTGCATCGAAGACGCGAAAGACACATGGTAGGAGCCTGTTGTGGCTTTTGCGTTAGAACCGCCGAGGCTTGAACTCATCGCTGTTGAAGGCTCTCTGTGCTCGTGGTTGGTAGCACCAAATCTAACGGGCGAGCATTGGCGTGGCGCACACGGCCAATCAGGGGCTGTCTCGAAGCGCTCGAGGAACCCCCACAAAGTTTGAGCCCGCTACTGCGCTGTGCTGGCTGCATGTGTACAAGATCTCGCCTCTATTTTGGGACCGTCTCCATCGTACACGGCTCGACGGACGGCAGCATGCGAATTGCCGGCCTCGTGGATGGCCGACGATATGAAGAAAGTCTTGTTAGTCCCGCCTTAGGCCGTGATATGGGAAGCGGTGTGCAGTGCGAAGAAAGCCGAGAGAAGTGGTTCTCGGCGAAATGATGGATGCTGAGTGATGGTGGAGGGCTAGATTCTGGGCTGTCTTCAACTCCGACATCTGGATTACACTATCATAGATTTCCCAATTGGGAAGCAGCGTAAACAGATGCCACGGCCGCGCCTTCCTTTTGCTCGCCGTTAACCAAAGCACACCCGCAGAAAACAACATCAGGCCATTGTTCTGCGCTCAACCACACATGCCCTCTGATCGACAGCTTGTGAACCACGTTCAATTCTCCGACAGGAGCGCTGCCAAAAGCTTCACCATGAGTGCGAACTGATACCGAACGAGTATCGTACCACTTTGTTTTGCGTCAACGTCTGCCATGGCTGCCAGCCCCCACCGTGACGGCATTGACAGCCACGAGGGCATCTGAAGTAAACTTTGTCGTATGATGTTGTTTGATGAGCAAGCCTGAGGAACCAGGAGCGAGCTTCGATATGATCTTCCATGCAGATGACTGATCATCATGCGCCAGGTTTGCGGTTGGAGTACCTGAGGCACAGAACAGAAACCGGGACTCAGGCATCCGTCGGGACGGATTATCTGAGTGCTGCCGTGCCGCACGTGCGATGGCGATATCTGCGGAGAATTACCTATTCGATCAGAGTGGCCGATTGTTCGCACTGCGCTGGTTTCATGGCTATCGTGTACGTCAGAGCCAGCGGTAACGCGAATCGGCTTGCGTAAAGGCGTTTTGCAAACTCTTCGCCGCCACCATCAACGAAGTAGCGGTATAGAATTGAGTAAGACCTGAATACAGTCTTCGCCGAGAAACAGTCACCAAGTCTTAGACAGATGCCACAAACCACGTGAACGCGAAGATTCACGCCTAGCTCCGCCCTCGCTACACTACCTTTGCCAAGCTAGCGAGCATCAGCCGTTCATAGGATTGATAGGATAGACTAAAATGGCGGCGCGATCCAGGATACTGGCACCGTGGCTGCAGAGAGGCTGGCGTCGCATGCAGCATCACAGCAGCCCAGCCAATCGCGCCGCCCACACGCCCAATCGTCCACGAAGCGGGTCAAGCGGCTACGAGCGACCATCTCTCCCCCCAGCGCGCGCCGAGCCAGAAGAAGAGTGCGACCAGGGTGCGCGATGCAAGGCCCTGGCGCATAAACTGTCTCTACAATTGCGGTCGACACCCGCTGTCGCTCCCGATATACTGACACGCCTCACGTCGCGAAGCTCAACGGCAACACCACGCTGCCTGAACACCTAACACGCCTGATACTCGCCTACGCCTCAGCCCACGATAACTGCTATCCACTATACACTCCACTCGAGTTGCTCCGTGCCTGATCTCCCCAGAAGCCTTACCGCTTTCGCCACGCCTGCGAACCGCCCATCCGCGACCAGGCCAGTGTCTATAACACAAAACCTCGCCCTGCCACACCCAAGCCCATCGATGCTCATCTGTCGCTGAGGGACTACTGGTAGTCGAAGGGACATTTCCACTTTCTTTTCTTCATTTTTTCTATTTACCCTTATTTTCTCACCTATACGACCGCGGGCTCGGTTTATTGCTCGTATCCTTTCTTTATAATACCCGTATTTCGACAATGGGCAAGTTAATCAAGAACCACTGGGCGCGCCTCGTCATCCTCACGGCTGCTGCGTGTAAGTCTCACCCCACAGCCATCGACACCACCACCAACACCAACACCAACACCAACACCAACACCATACTAATTACAACTCCAGATCAAATAGGAGCTGCACTCGAATGCTTCTTCTGGCCCAAGATCTTCTGGGACTTTGCTACCAAGAACCTCGATGGCGCCGTAAAGCCCATCCCCGTACTCCAAGTCATCAACATGTTTCTCGGCTTCATCGGTCTAGCATGGGAATGGCCATTGCCACTGCTCGCTGGCACAGGACTGCACCGCTCGATTGAAGCGCGCCTGATCATCTACCCGCTCAGTGCGCTGTGTGCGCTCTTGATCTACCAAGGCACCAACTCGGGACTCTACTACATCATCGGCATGGGAGCATACTTCTGGGCGTTTAGCGAGGGCGAGGTATGTACCATTATATCCCTATTAGACATCGACGTACTAACGTTATTCAAGGTCGTCTGCCCCGAGCCATGGACTCTCCCCAAGCGTGGTTCCACAGCCCGCAAGATGACCGCATAGTCTGGCCCTTCCATAGACCGCAACAACAATGCACCTCAGCTTCGCTTCTCAACAAACTATACCCCACACACGCCTTTCCATGTACAATGTCCACGTAGACGACGTACCACTCCCAACTCTCTGGCAGACCACCCACCATGATTTAGCGATTTTCCGGAACCGCCCACGAGCGGAGGCGTTCACACTCAGCATCTAAGACGAGCAGCAGCATTCATCTCACGATACCAAAAACCCCCAACAAACGAGCAGTCGAGCATCCTATCCCAACCAGAACGCACCGAACGATATTATTTACTATTTCACGGCGTCATGCAGCGAATGTACGGGCGCTAGGTGTTTGCACTGCTTAACAACTTACAAACGAACAAAAATGAATCAATAACCAAAAACACATCATGACACGTTTGCTCACTGCATTTCTCAGTCCTTCCACTTCTCGCTCTCACCCAACGTTGCCATTCTCCAAGGATTTACCTCCTTGCCTCTTGCTCTGACTGCTGTGACATCTCTGACATGACAAAACCTGAGGCAACTCCTCGTTTCAGCCCCATCCACACCCCACAATTCGCTTCCCGTTTTGCTCTCCAGTTGTATGCGGTGTATGCCTTGGCCTAACGGGCTTCTGACAGCTTGCGCCTCAGTCAAGATTGTCAAGGAATTTGGCTGAACCCCTCTGTCGTAGCCAAGGTGGCGGTGGATGACATGCCTTGCGTATCTACTAATCTCAGATGTGAAGTTGGCATCACACGCCATATGGATTACTATGCCCATGAAACTCGCTGTAATCCGAGTGTTGCACCACCCTTTGTCTAGCAGTGCCTGGTCGTGCAGTGACCTGGTACGGGTATGATATGCATGCCTGAGTGTACTCGCAGATCGTTCTAGACTCCGCACGAAGAACATGATAGCAATGTCGATCTTTAAGAAGATGGTAGATAGTGCGGTGTTGGGTTTGGCATTCGGTGCGGAGGTAGTGGTAGGCATAGTGAGCATGGAGCTGGAATTATTGTGGATCTGCGGAGATGTATGTTAGCGTTTGTCTAATCGGAAAGCAGGCGTAGGATGCAAGAGGGCAATCACGTACTTGCTGATCAGTTATGATGCCATATTTCCCCGCCCAAGGCACTACCTTTGGCGCTCGAAGCTTTCCTTGCTGCGCCAGCCATCGCGGGAGTGCTGTCACGAATGCTTTAAAGAGTCAGTTCTGGGCGGGTTAGAGATTAGTACATCCATTGTCCGCCA